CCAAGTTGTTCTTTGCAGGGCTGCTCTCAATGAGATCTTCCCGAGATAATCTGGGATTACCTTGAACCAAGAGCAACACCTTGCACTTGCCCTTGTTAAACCTTATTAGGTTCATGTGGACCACTTTTCCATCCTGCCCAGGTCCCTCTGGACGGCCTCTGTTCCTTTCTGTTGTGTCAACTGCATCACTCAGGTTGCTGTTTAAAGCACTAGCTGGTGATATTGGATATAAGGAGGCGTGAGGAGGTCTAAGTGAGCAAAGCAAGGGGCAAGCACTGAGAAGAGGCAGCGATGAGATTGATGCAAGCTTTGAATGGCGTTAAATATGAAATTCAGGCACAGGGAAGGACCAGAATGGGCAGGTTGGTTGGATGCTCCAAGTAGAAGGCTACCCGCTCGACGAGACGCAGACCGGCTGTACCGGCTGTTAGCAGCGGCAGCCGAAGCCCCAGCAGGGCGGGCGGCAGCGCCCTCTGCCGGCTGCTCTCGGCTCCCCTGCGGAGCGTGTTGCGGGTCCCTACCGGGGCCGGCCTGCGGGGCGCTGCCGCAGCTCTCCCCTTCGGTTCTTACAGTGAGAGAACCGAACTCTGCCATTTCTGAGGCGGGCGCGGCAATGAACACTTCCAGGGCCCGGCAGCTGGCCTGGCGTGGGCTCGGGCGCCATCTCGTGCCCGGCCTCGTGAGCGTGACCTGGTTCTCACCCAGCTGAGCAGGGAGATAAAGTGAAATAGTAAAATAGCAGGTCTCCACTTACTGCTAATCATTACCCAGTATAGAACAGCTTCAAGTAGGGAAGGTGAAAGAGTTCTCCTTGAAAAAATCAAAACTGTCATGTGGTGGTGTTAGCACCCCGACCCAAAGCAGAGAGCAGGGATGGAATGCTATGTGGGCAGACACTGTGCAAGGGAGTGAGCTGGAAGTGACACCAGGAGGGAGCAGTGACAGCACTGTGTGGCTGAGAGTGTTTAGCTAGGGCTATTTTCCCAGCCTATGTAATCCATTAGAACAATATTCTCAGCAATGAGAGACTGCTGTTTGCAGTTACCTTTCTGCATGCTCAAGATCACATGACTCTTACAAGATGCACGGGCTCCTAGTAAAAACCTGTGAGTGCCTCAGATAAACTGGACACATTCAATCTCTAGCCAGGCCAGCTGCCTTGCACTTTGCTGATTTTGAGGTTTGATCACCACTCAGTTTATTCAAGCAGGCTACCTGGCAGGCTGAGGATCCCACTAGATGGCAGGACAGTTAAGCTCTTGCTGCTTTCAGCCAAACCGCTTTGGATAGCACAATCAACGCACTCCAGTGGGCTCAGCCCTTCAGGTCTATGCTGGGCTGACCTGGGCACCCCTCAGGATTCACAGCAGATCTGCAGCTCTCAGCAGAGCAAACAGTCTGTGCAAAACTGGTGGAGAAATCAGTATGGAAATCTCTGACTCTTTAATTCTCCCTCATGTGTTTTACCACACACAAAGCACCAGCAGGCAGAACAGAGGAATCAAAATCAAAATCAACCCTAAGTAATCTGCTGCATCCTGAAATATGTAAAAGATATTTGGAATACATGATGGTAAAGTGTGCATTACATATCTTATCGCTACTGCTGTGTGTCATTGTTAACTAATGCAAGCGCAGTTAAGACTCCATATGATCACCACTGTATTTATCAACGTGTAATAACTGTGTATCCTCTCACTATTTGGGAATGATATAGAAGATACACTTCCACATATTCTATTGTCAAACAGTTGGCTGTTGTGGTACAAGTATAAATGCACTGGTATAACAAGCAAAAATTAACGATCAGCCAATGTTTTGATGTGACTCTTACATAGAAGTAACTAAGGATTATTTAAATAAATACATGGTATATACGCATACAGCAGCCAGTTTATCATTTATCATCATCTGTTTATTAACAGCATTCATGAAGTGAGTTAACTAATTAAAATACACTTTGAAATTTACTGGCTTGAAGAAATATTTATATGCATAACTCTTCATCTGCAAGGCCCAGTTTGGAAACATACAATGTATGCAAAACATTGTATATGTTTTGTCATTACTGTAAGTCATTACTGCCCTGTTATGAGCTGGAGTGAATGTTGTGCAACAGAGAATTGGTCACTGTGAGTAGGAACATAGGTCCATATAACCAAATATAATGTCTTGAATAATGCAAAATTATATGATGTTACCAGTGAGTAGTTTCCTTGCCTCAAGTATTTGTTCAAGGACTTTACAGAATGGGAAACATTTTCTGTACACTTAGTAACTCCTGAGTTAAAACTGCAGTTGATGTAAAACAGTCTTTTCCTTCAGTGACAACTGGATATGAGCTATACATTACCATCAATGCTTTGAAAATTCCTTATAAAGTATACCAGTGCTTTGATGATCATTTCATCCAGCATTTCTTTTTAAAGCTCAGCCTATGCAGTTACACCAGAATGATAGTATGTGGCACAGATGAAGATAGCTAAATGAGAAATCATAAGAAAGCATAAATCATGAGAAATCATGAGAAAGCATAAATTAGATTGTTCTAATAATCAGTCCCCTACCTTAAAATCTACTTACTCCTTCATTGCCTTCCAGAAAACAAATGGAACTTTCCTAATTTATAATAACAGAAGATATGCCTCAGCATGTTCACTTGCCTCTTACATGGAGCTCATGATGAACAACTGAACAAAAGAAAATTACCTTCTTAATGATATCTGAAAAAGAGTGAGGCCATTTTTTTTATGTGTTCGAAGAATCTAAATTATTAAATTTTCTAATGTATGTACAATTAAGTTACAGAGTTTTATTTTCTATCCTTTTTTTTTTTAAGTATGCAGAGTGGCTGAGAATTAATCTTTACCTCATTGAGTTCTGAAATTTGGAGACAATAAAGTTACTGTTTTTGCTTGATACTAAAATAAATGTCTTGGCTCTGTATAAAAGCCCAGGATGGTGCTTTTATGCTGATGAAAAAGATGCTATTACCTGTGCTGCACTTGCTGCAAATGGAAATTGGGATTAATGCGTTATAATACAAAATTAGCCTTAATAGAAGTTTGCTGCTGTAATTTATCAAGTTAATTAAATATGCACCTAATTTTAAGCACTAAGTATTTCTACTTACTTCAGTGAGACTAATCTACATTTAAAGCTAAGCATATTTTAAAATATTCTGCTGATTCATGGCCATAACTTTGTAACTATATGGATTAAGAGAAAACACTAGCATTAATTATTCATTATCTGAGCTAATAGGAAGGTGGTATGTCCTGGATATTAGTTAAAACTGGATAAACTGGCTCAGCAGGGAGTATTCAGAAGCACTTAGCTCTTTACAGGCACAGCTAAAGTCCAGCAGGAGTTACTGTCTGTCTTCAAGATACCAGCAAGAAAAGGAACCAGAGCTTGCCCAACTCTAGCTGTACTTCGGACAGTAACCCTGCTTAAACCCCTAATTCCTGGGTACTGTGGCCTTGAGGTACCCAAAGAGCTCAGAAGGGGCTTGGCTAACTCCTGTCTGCCTGAGTGAGGAGTAATACAGAACTAATAAATTCTTCTGGACCAAAGTTTTCAGCACAATGTCTCTCATGCCAATTGTTTTTAACTGAGTTGCATTTTAAATCTTCCTGTTTGTCTTTACATCTTATGCAGAGTTTCTTCTTAAGCTTCTTTCTACACTCTCAACGACAGGTTCATACAGCAAAAGTAAGCACCAATTCTCCTACTAGTTTACCACCCTGGTTAAGGTTCTAAATTCAATGTCTGTGAGTAGTGGTACGTATGTATGTCTGCTGAGTAATTTTATAGGTGGTTTAACACATGAATAATTTGCTAACTTTAATTGGTTCACATGATTGGTCTTTTAATAGGAAAAAAAAAAACTAAAACCCTTCAAAGCTTTTCAAAGTAGAAAAATATTTAAGTATCTGTTCCTGTAACCCAAATTTCAGAGTCTGTTTAACGTAAGAGAAAATTCTAAATATATCCAGTGCTGCAACTGTGAAGGAAGAATTCGATATAGGCTGTGACCCAGAAGAGCACTTTAACATACGCTCCACTTAAAGCGTATAAGGAATTCTGCTTCAGTAATACTCAACTACTTGAATCCCATTGGATCATTTTAACATCTTAAAACTGAACGCGTTCATGTGTCCCGATGCTATAAAGGAGACTGGAGTATGAGAAAAGGACTGTAACACAGAACAAAAGTGTGCATCACAAATACAGTTAATTTTATGTCCCCCTCCATGGTGTTTTTCAGCTTTTGTCCTCTGCTAGCTCAGGTTTTCAGACTGTCTTAAGCCACCCATTTTGCTATAGTGGAGTATGTTATTTCCTATTCCAAACTTGAAAGTAATTCTGGGATGCTGCACTTGTTGAATGAGCACAGATAGCTGGAGAGAACCCAGTGTTGCTTCAGCTGGATAAAATCTACCCTTTACTGAATGGTCCCTAAAAGACAGCCTATTAATAAATGCAAATGCCTATTATGAATGGTAGCTGTGTGGAAAAGCCTCTTGCAAGATGTCCACCAGCCATAAAATGCACAAATATTTTGTAGGTGGAATATCAGTCAGTTGTGTGATGTGCCTATGTGGGACACTTCTTCCATCTTGCCACAGTCCAGCAGAGAGACTGTGTGGGTAAATAAAATAATTTGATTGTCAGTATTGGTCAAGTCTCACAAAGTACAAAAAACAGCCGCAGCTGTAGACAGCAGTAAGGGTGTCTGTGCATGAATCTTGGACTCCTACAGTAAAGGACTGCATGCTGGGAAGTTTCAGGAGCATGGCCTTCATCACACACACACACACACACAGATACACACACACACACAAACAAAAAACCCCCAACATTTAAATAGATAAAACTCTGTAAAAATCACACTGGAACACTTTCATCAGCAGCAAACAGTAAAGCAAAAATGAGATGCAATAATTATACATTATTATGGGGTTTTGAGTCTTGTCATATAAAAGAAACATCAAAGATTCAACAGAAGACAGAAAATACGATAGCTATTTAATTTCCTTAGTGAGATGAACAGTTTTAATCACTTACAAACACGGCTATTTTATTTCAGATATACATGAACAGCTACAATAATAAGCCTGAAAACAGAAATGACAGAAATAGCAAGACTGCTAGGAGTGGGATAGGTGAGATGATCTGCCATAATTAAATAGAGTGTAAAGAGACTAAAAAAATGAACACTGGTAGTTTAAATGCTAAACAAAATGCTTTGAAGTCAGGAAGAAGAGAGAAAAAAGTTAGTTTTCCTATTTGTCACATCCATCTTCTTATACCTAATGAGAACAAAAATCTCTGAAGATATACTGCAGATTGGGTCTGTAATCTAATACATACTTACTATCTTAAAGGAGAGTGAATACACCTCTGTGTAACAAAGAAGCTATTTTAGAAAATTAAGAAATAGGACTTTTATTTTAAAGTAATCATTACCTGGTACATCTGCTATCTATGTTCATTAAAACTCCCAAAGAAGATTAGTTTGGATGAATAAAGTAATCATTAAGCAAACAAACAAACAAAAAAAAGAAAAAAGGAAAAAAAAAGAAGCAGAACAGATACATTCTTTAGTTCTCTTCCCATTTGGATGTGTAGAACATTTTTTCTGATGAACAACAGCAGAAAAAACAGCAGTTCCATGTTAAAGCCATCTACATATAAGTGTGTCACGAAAGTCTTTCCTCTGCTGTTGCAATTGCTACCACACTTCAAAATAGGTAACAGGGAAACTCTGCAAAGTCTGTCGACAGGTTTCATCAGTCGAGCAGTCCTCAGGTATTAGGAACTGCTGCTCTTTCCCTCTGCCTCTTGACTTTCCAGCAAGGCTTTGGATGATGATACTTCTCCACCCTCTGCTCCTTCATCTAGAAAAAAACACAAACATTTATAATGCACACAGTCTTAGAGCTTTTTAATTACAGTCAAATATTTGAGCTTATCGATCACTTCTATTTGGATTGGCTCTTTATTACCAAACTCATGGGTGCTCTGGAAAGAGTGATAAACTCAAAATATAAAGAAGCTGCACAGACATTGTCCAAAAACAATTTCCTATTGGTTCTGATTTCCATGTTCCTTGCACATTCTGATAAATTTTAAGCATCAGATCAGATATAACTTTTCTTTTTTCTGACTTGTTTTCAAAGTCAGGTTAGAATATAGCACTCCTCTGAGCACAGTTTGGATTCTGGTAGATAACATTACATTTTATGAACATGTCCGTTATTTGTCTGACCTTCTTTGCCACTAAAAACATAGCAGAATTAATTTTTTTTTCACAAGATGAGGGTATATATATATTTTTTTTGTAATTCTGATTTTGAAGTTCACTCTTTCATAGATCAGAATGGAACGATGACATGGCTAGTACAAATAAAAGCACACCAGCAGAACTGATTCATGTTTATGGTCATCATTAGATATGTGGAATTCTGCACTGTCTCTTCTGAAGCCCATATTCTCTCACTGAGAAATGACATCTCCTCTTGCCTTGATTTCCTTGCAAAGCACAATTATTTTCACACTATCCTCAAGTCTCACAGAGCATTAACAATGGTAACAAAACAGTTTGTGTACTCAGACCTAAGACAGACCGTAGCTTCTGCAAATCTGGTTGTATCATCTTCCAACTTTTATCTGATTTAATAATCATAATCTAAGAGGTCAAATTTCAGGAATTTCCCTGGAGATTTGCCATTAACACATCACAAACAGACAATATTATATATATTCGTCACCGCTTACCACAGTAAATTTATACCACTGTGCACAATAAACTGCTTGATGTTGTCTGCAACAGCCTCTGGTTTGGAGGCTTCATAGTTTAACACTGGTAAATTAAGAACTCAGTTATTTAACATTCTTCAGTATTACATAGCACAGCACTTTTAAGGAAAGGGAGACAGAGCCGTGTCCTCTATTGTCTACTTCTGTTTGGGGCTTGATGTCCAATATTAGTGGAGTCTTGTAGACAGGGTAAACAGAGTTTGCTAGAGGAAATCCAAACTCTTATTTACAGCACAGGTGCTACATCCAGACAGCTACATCCAGACAGTTATACACAGTTACCTAGAATTATTTTCACCAAGCAACATAAATTATTAGCAGAACAGACCCCCAAAGCAGATTACAGAAGGTCAGTGTAACCTCTTTGCTCTCAAACTTTTTGCAGATTCTTCTTTAATCCTGGAATCTCATGTGATATCAACTGATATCACAACAGATGGTGGTGACACACTGGAACAGGTTGCCCAAGGATGTTGTGGATGCCCCGACCCTGGTGGCATTGAAGGCCAGGCTGGATGTGGCTCTGGGCAGCCTGGTCTAGTAGCTGGCAACCCTGCGCATAGCAAGGGGGTTGAAACTAGATGATCATTGTGGTCCTTTTCAACCCAGAACATTCTATGATGCTATGATTCTATGACTCTATGATTGTTTAATATGGTTCCACTATAGCTTCCCATCAGACTACCTTTGGGCAGTATCAACTCTCCAAAACTAACACATCAGCAGAGGTGGGTAGGGTACAGATAGCCTTCCTGTCAGACTTGGGCTCTGTGAAAAATAGCTGATGCCAAAACATCTCCATTCATTTCAAAGTGAATATTAATTTAGTGGAATGTCCAGAGTGCACAGAAATTTGTATCACACAGCAATGGTCCTTGCATTTTCATAAAGAATATATGCAAAGTCTCTTATCTTCTAAACCAGACAGAAGGTATTAGCAAATCCCGTTTCTGACCTTTCACTCTGACAGCAAGTGACAGCTTTTTAGAAGGAAAAGAAATGTATGATCCAATGAGCATTAGCTAAATGTGAAGCAAGATGGAGAGCCCTCCTCGCCATTCCCCGTAGTCTTCACTAAATCTTTCAGAAAAAAATAGGGCATGCTTTATATAGCCACATGTTCTATCTTCTCTGCTTTTCTCATTTATCTAACCTCTTTGTTCTGAGCTGGCAATGGCTTTCATTTTAACAGCTTATTGCTAAAGCCAAAGACAAGCAAGTTTTGTCCATTACAGCCCCAAATGTATCACAAACAAAAAATTTCCCAGTCACGGCATTGTAAGCTTTCGTTTTATTTTGATGACTTTCCCTCAGTTTTGCTTGCTGCCCAATTGGAAGTTTAACTGACAAGAAAATGAGGCCGCAATTCCCATTTTGATGCTTGTGGAATTCCCAATTCACAAAAGCACCCAAGCAGTGCCCACTAGTCACAGTGTGTCTAACTGTATCCTGCATTCACTTATTATCATGACTGCAAAATGCTGATAATAGCAATTACTCCTTCTGGGAGTGCTCTGGTGCCAATGAAAAAAGCAAAGGATAATTCCATGCTATGAATTGTTCTTCAAATCTCCTTTTGTTTTTAAGAAAGCACTGGTACATACTGCTCAAACTAATGTAGCTGTGTTTCATTTCTTCTTAATGCACTTGGATGAGCACCAGGAAAGGATTACTCTGTCTGGAGTACTTCTATTATCTTGTACTGTAACATTTCTTTTAAGAAGACACTCACTCTTTCACGTTTACTTTTATGCAGGAAAAAACATATATATATCGGAGAAAATTTTTCCATGCCTTAAAAAGTATATTGTTTCCAATTTTCCAGAGTCAAAATGAAACAAACATGAGGAACTTACCTGTACTGTTGTATTTTTTGAGCTTTGTTTAACATGGTCTTATGTATGCCCCTCAAGGTTAATTGCTCTAAGCAATACAAAGGTTAGTTATTCATAGCATAGCAATGAATATTCCAATGGCTTGGACTTCCCAGTCCAAGAGCTTTACTTCCACAATGTCAAATTCCCACCTGCCTCCTCTTTGACAAGGGAAACAGTTCCCTCCTGCAGGAACGTGGCCCGTGGTCACTGTGTGCAATGGTGCCAAGTGGAAGAGCTTTTTCGGAATTAAAAAGAAGGTATTTGAAAATGAAAGCATTAAATGTTAATTGCCTGTCTATACTTTGGAATGGATTTGCAATGCTGCAATCACGTACACCAGAAAGAGGACATCTGCAAGGACATCTCAAATTCAAGGAGTCTGAACTGCGTCTCATCTGCCGTTACTGACCTGCATAACCTTGTATGCACTCTTAACACAGTGCCCTCAATCTGCTTTTCCAGATTCCCCCAGTTCTCCTCAGTACTGCCCTTTCACCTAGGCATATATAACTGTCCTTGCTGGCTTTCACTTATTTAAGTCTGTCCTCTCTTCTTCATAAATCCTTGGCCTTTCCTTTTGCAAAAGTAATGCCTCCTTCCAGCACCCATTCAGATAATGTTTTTTCCTCCCCTTCCTAGTTTCAAGAGAGGACGTTGTGATCCAGTCTCTCTTTTCATTCCTCGTAGAAATGATATCTCTAATCCTCCTCTTCTTCATCCCCAGAAGTCCTTCAACAGGCCCCAGATGGGCTTGGATTACAAAAGTCCAAACACATGAATATAAATTAAATGATCAAAGCAAGGACAATTTGTAATCAAAGAATTTCCCACAGTTTTATGGTGCTTTAAGAGGATGTAAATTCAACACTACTTCAAGTAATATAGAAGCATGATCGAGCTTCGAGCTTGAGAATTTTCCTGTAACCTATTTCAGTTGGAATTCATGAGCCCTCTATCCTTCAGCACAGGCTTGCCTCCTACTCTGCTGCCTGCAGACCATTGCTGCTGCTGGAAGTAGGACCACCTTGGGAGCGGCAGGCATGAGAAGAAGAATATTCTTCTTCTTTTAATTTAAAAATTTAAAGTTTTAAAGATTTAAAAAGTAGGAGCAACCCATGCTCAGAGGCAACCTATAATTCTCACTTCATCAGCATCAGAAATGCAGCACTGATCTCAGACAGCAAAGTCTGAAGCTTAGCAGGAGGACTCAGCACTCCTAATTTTTAACTCTAAGTTAGAATGATAGCTGTAATTGGATCAGCAGCACAGCTTACTGTCTTGTGCTAAGCTACCCTTGAGCAAGAGGAGACTCTAATTAATAGCTGGCATGGTGGTTTGCCAAGCTGTCCAGCAATGTAACTGTGGTTCCTCTTCTTCATGTGAGCCAGCATTCAGTTCCCAGCACCCTTCCCCAGACTGCTGCACAGTGAGTCTGTGGGTGGATATGGCAGACTCAGTCTGGGTTAAAATTAACTTGTCTTGTTAGGAGTACAAAACTGTTTTGGAAGACTGCACTTAAACCTGAATGAAGAAAGAACTAATGGCACTGACATCAAAATTACATGGTGCCAGAAGTCTTAAGGAGAAAGCAAAGGATGGCTACATGCAGATGCCCGCTTCTGGAACACACAGGTGCTACCTTCAGAAACAGACAGCTCGGCCAGTTTGTGCGGCAAGTCCGAGGTCCCGGCACCAGCAGGAGAGCCCAGGATGTCAGGTAAGGCATTGCGGCGGCCTGCCCTGCCCGATGCTGCGAAGTCTGTCACCAGGGGCTCCACATCAGTCATTGCTGACTCTTTTCCTCATAGCAACATCTGTAGGTAGAGCAAACAGAAGAAAAAAAGTATAGCCTGGAATCAAAACACTAAACAGGTCTGCTTCTTCAGTCTGGATTCTATTCACCAGATCAACACAACAGCCATGGGCTTTGTTTGCCCCAGAGGGTCTTTTCTTAGTAAAGCCATGTACTTCAATGCTGGGTGCTAAAGCCTTAGAGAAGAACCTCTGTGCATTTCATTATGTTGCCATTTGCACAACTGAGGAGCATAATGAGCAGTTGTGTATCTACAGGAAACCTGTAGATAAGGTCAGCAACAGACTGTTCTGTCCACCACTTGTGTGGCTTCTTACCACCCGAGCATCCCTTTCAAGTGGTTTTGCCACACTGCCATGGGGAAGGGAACTGAAACTCTGTTTAGTCATACTGTCTCCATGAACCATTAGCTTTTCTTTATTAGGAATCTTGTTTGGACTCTTATTTAGGATGTTATTACAACAAATTCCTTTCACGGGGAGTAAATTGTATAAAAAGGCCTCTCAACAAACTAAAAATAAAAATCTGCAAAAAATTTCTTAAGCCTACAAATACCAAACCACTTGCTTTCCTCTGCTTCTACGGAAATAACTAATTTGGTCTAACTCCAGCTCATGCACGTGCCTTTTCTGAATAAATAATGCAATCCTGTGCGTAAGAGAGCCAGTGGTGCTGAGTTTTCTCAAAGCTCATGGAATTGAATGTGAAAATTCCTGCTGATGAAAATGGGCTTTGGTTAAGGCATAGATATGTGTGAAGGATCACACCTCAGGGCAGCAGCTGAAGCGAGAGCACTTGAAGCAGAAGGCAGATACTTCATCGCAAGTAGCAGGCAAGGACAGTTTGAAAAACTTCCATTACCCCTGTTTTATTAAGTATCACAAAAGATTATCATACCAGATTTGCACATCATGACTTCCATTAATTAACACAGTAATTCCTAATAATTTGCCATTAACTGCTCAATCAAAAACAATACTTGCTCAAAAAAGTGCAGTTCTGTGTAGAGTGCAACAGGAATGTTGTGTCTTAGTGTAGCTATAGTCAGCACATTATGTAGGAAAGTGCACAGGTGGGGTTGGAGACCATTTGATGAAAGAGTACCAGCTTGATTGATGACTGCCTGTATTTAGAATAAGAATTAGATAGGCAAAGTTCAAAGTTCCATTTTTACTGTTCTTCATGTACGAAACAGAGCATCATGATCACCATTCTAAATTCCTGCTAGGGTTAGAAATTATTGGTACTCTCCTTTCATGGATAGAAAAACTGAGGCAGATTGTTAAATCAAACATAACCTATTCTGATGTGCAAGAAGGGAGCAGCAGCACTTCAATTACTGATGCTGCCCTTGTGCATCAACAGCAAAGAGCATTTTCCTTTTCTCTCTCAAATTTCTTTTCATGTGTGATATTCCAACTACAATAATAAATATTCTTAACTATCTCTATATCTCTGAATACTGAATAATAAAATAAATGAATCCTACTTGGCAGGAAGTGATGACATGAATAAAATCTGCACATCTGAAAGATGACTTGAACTAACAAATAAACAACTTTCTTTAAATAGTCAGTGATTAAAGGTTCTGACCATGAGATTTTGAAGTTCTCATCTTATGTCAGAGCAAGTCCAAATGAATCCTTTCCATAAGTAGCAAAAACATTGAAGCAATAGAAAAATTCGAGCATCCAATGTTGAGAAAATATACAAGATAAATGTATCACAATTCTGATTTAGGTACAGTATTATACTGTATATTCACTGAAATGAATGAGCTTGACACTTTACAAGAAATATCAAAATAAGGAAAATGAATCCAAATTCACAGACGCAGTCTCATGGGTTGCTCTTTTTTTTTTTTTCCTGAGTGTTCATATTCACTTAACTGTAGGTGTCCAACATATATTTCTTCAGAGTTGCAAGACACTGTAAAATACACTTCAGAACAATAAACACTCAGCATCTTCCTTTGCTGGATAAAGCTGTTAAGTTTCGTTCCCAGTGACAAAATACCAGCATGGCCACAGTGCTTGCACATTCAGTTCAGGTCATGTAGTTGGTAGTACAATGCAGTTCTGAGCTGACTTCTACTCATTTACAGATCGACAGACCAACATTAACGTTAAAACACAGCAAAGACCTTCTCAAGTCTGTCTTCTTCTTTTTTTTTTTTTTTTCTTTTTTTCCATTTTCCACCCCAGGCTCTCTCTCCCCAATGTAATCTTCCTCCAGTGCACAACACAAGGCAAAGATGATGAAGGACACAGTCTGACTTGCTTCCATGTACATGAATTTTGATTTATGTACTTGATTTAAAAAGCCTGCAGAGACAAATCTTGGAACATCTGTTGGGCAGAAAATCAGCCCATCATCTGTCAGACTGGTGGACGTAATTCAAATGTAGCTATCTAAAAATAATAAAAGTATACTGTCTTCTGAATAGCAGTTACCATTAAAAGTGAAGGTTTCACCTTCGCTTTTTTTTGTACCAACCTTCAGATATCAGAGATGAGGAGAAGGCTGAGTTCAAATGCTAAGGGCTTCTCACTGAGCTAGCACACTTCTAATTTGGACAGGAAAGTTCTGAACACAGACACTGACACTGTCCAAGTATATTCCAAAGATAAGGGACTACCCCAGCAGGCTTATAATTGATGATATAAATCAAAACTTTGGTTCATTTACGTTCACATAAATCAAAACGTAACTCCAAAGGTTCAACAGACCATATTCAAAGTAGCTTTCTACTGTACTATAGCCAAATGCCATTTCTTTCTTCCATTCTAAGAAATTTGTTCAGTTTCATCCTGGTGCTGTCTTAGAATAGTTTAGTTTCTTTGCTCTTTATCTGCCTCTAGCTTTAATTTTTTTAATATTTCCCTCAGGAAGTAACTACCTTTTTGAGGCAGGCATCTTCTTACATGTGTTATGTTTAGCACTTTTCTTGCTTCCTCACAGGGTAAATAATAATCACAGTGTGCAAGGCTGCAATTTTCCCAATGCCATTCCTCCTCCTGCTGGCAACATCTCCTGCAGCTTCACTGCACTCATTTTTCTGTACTCTTACCCAAGATAAATACACACATACCTTGCCAATGTCAGCATGCAGTTGCTTCTCTCAGCTTCTAAATTATTATCATGGAACATTATCATGTTCCTCCCATGTCACCACTCATTACACTACTGGCACACAGTTGTAAAAGAAGAGTGACAGATTGCTAGAGCAAAAGATTGCCTGCTTTCCTGTCTCTCTTATTTTATCACAGCAAGACCCATGTGGTCCAGACACTGAAAGGCACTGAGTGGGACATGAGTCACACAGGGAAGGTGGCTGTTTGCAAAGTGTCAACAGAGGAAGGCAGGTGGACTTCCAAAAAAGCCCTCCTCATTAAATTAGAATCCAAGGTCTTTGACTGTCGTGATAAATTACAAAAACTATGCCATCAAGTATTTCACCAGTACTCCATGACACCAGATTAACTTTGCTTATTATTACTGGGCCATGACACTGTGCTAAGGGGTTTTCAGGAGTGAGGAGTTAACCTTCTCCAATAGCCCTCCAAAATGCCTGCAGGACCACGCAGCTGCACAACTGACCACTCTGGTGTACATGGGAGTAGGAAGCGTCTGCTTGTGCAAACTGGCTACCAACAGAAGAAAAAACTGATAAGCAAATCTATCAGACATTCAAGTGTCCTCAAAGAAAACTACCAGCATGTTTTTGTCTATGTGAGACAGATAGTTAATCTTTGAGTCCTCCTTTGTCAGCAGCATTGTTGGTCTCTTTTGAAGGACAAGTCACAGAAGCTGATAGGAATTTGTTTAAATAAATGACAAAGGGAAAGAAAAAATACTTCTCCTGAAACAACTCATGTTGAGGATCAAGGGAAAAATGCTTTACAATGCTCAATTGTAACAAGTACTATGATCCACATTAAATGTCAGTGCTGTCTCTTCCTCATCCTCTCTGCTAGGAAGTAGATAAATCATCACCATACATGTTTGTGAAGGATCTTTTTCTCTCTGATCTTTTCACTGTCTTACACAGATTGAAAATACTGGTTTTGTTCTCTGTAGAAGGACAAACTATTCCTCAGGAAATGTCAAAAATGTTTCTGACACTGGTGTTGTTGGAGCTCTGCATAGGAGGCTGAACAACGAAACACATCAGTCTTTGCCACTCAAACACACTTTTCTCCTTTTGGAAACTTTTCTCTTAGATCTCTGTCTTTGTCTGCAGTATTGAACAGAATGGTGCACTTCCCAAACATTGTTCCTTTTGAATGACCATTACTGAGAATAGACTGGAAAAAAATGAAAACCCCTAAGAAGCATCTGCAAAACACAGTAGCTGTGTAATACTGCTAGAGCTGGACTGATCAATTTTGTGTTTTGATGGTCTCATGCTGTAAGATGCATTTCAGTATCCTGTGTTTATTTTCTTGCTTTACTTTTAAGCAGTAAGAGTGTTCTTCAAGCACCTTTTCCCTTAAGGTTTGTAGTTGGAGAAGTGTTTCAGTAAGGAAAACAGAAAACTTAATAGAACGAAGTACTTCTCACTGTAAAACCCAAATGAAAACCACTTGCTATACAATTGCCATGCTTTCACATCCTCTTCTGGTACTGCTGCATCCTGCTGGCTTTGCTGCTTTTCTCAAAGACATCAGAATAGGAATGTTCTCATTTGTGTTAATGTAATCCTCATGCTTAATGCTGAGGTAGCACTGGGCCAAAGAAAGGGAAAAAATTAAGAACAGTCATGATTTCAATGAAAACAGCTCAGGGATTATGACAATGACTAATAGTAGCCTGTGCTGTTACGTTATATTTTTTGTGAGTAGATTTCTGTTTCATGTTTTTCCCCTCCAATTAAATTTATAACGCATATCTACGCCTAGTGCTAGGAGACCACATGCATAGCATATCTCTATCAAAAACAGAAATCTTTATTGTTTTGGGCTTATAGACTTCTTAAATGGCAAGGTGAAAAAAATACAG